CGCGCCGCGCACTATGCTCCTGCCTGGACGCGCGCGCCCACCGCCCGCGCCGCAGCCCGCGCAGCATCACGGCCTCCGCCGGCAGGTAGAACCGCCGGGGCAGCTCCTGCGCCTCTTCTACTGCACCGTCCTGGTCTGCTCCAGAGAAATCGCCGCGCTCACGGACTTCTCGGGTAAGAGGCGCCCTCCCTCGCAGGGCGGTCTTTGCGCGCGGTGCGCCCCGGTGAGTCCGCCGTGGCGGCAGCCGCCCGCGGGGGCTCGGCCAGGTCCGAGTAAAGTATCAAAGTCGGGGTGCGCTCACAGCTAGTTTTCTCGCCTGAAGTGAACCTTTAGCTTATAGGTTACTGCGTGTAGGGTGGTAGCAGCACCCCCACCCTCATCTCCCTTTTCGGGGAAAGGGTGGATAACCTACTTGGTGTTTCTTACCCTGCTGTTGACCTCGTTAATTTCCCAGCGTCAGGGACCGAATTCTGACGGAGGTGAGTCCGCTAGAGGCTCCTTAAACTGCTTCAACCGCTGATGTGCCCAGAGATGTGAAATACACGTGTTGTGGTCCGAGGAGTGGCACTTGGCTGCCACCAGAAAAGGCCAGGTGCTCCCCAGTCAGTCTCTCGGGTGCCCATGTAAGAGGAGACTGGTGCAGGGGACATGTGACCCGAGGTATGTGCTGCTGACAGGCTGGAGCCCTCAGGGACAGGGGGTCTGGTGAAGATGCTCTGAAAGCTAAGCAGGAGCTTGCAAACAGGCGACTCAGGGGCAAGACTACCCCAAGACATGGACAAACTTTACCCCATGAGGTACCAGCGTCCCCCACCCTACCCCAGCCGAGTCCCAGTCTCAACAAAAAATAACTGACTTGCCCCTCCCAGGAGTCCATGAGACGTTCTTTTTGGGGACTTGGACCAGGGCTCCCAGCTGTTGTAGAGAGCTTTGCAGCTGTAGGTGTGGCAGTGCAAAGCCATGGAAGGAAGTTTCTGGGTTGATGGTGGCTCCAGGAACTTTTATTACCACTGTACTTAATTCAGAGTCACAGGTCCTTGCTTGGGTGCCTGGGGCTCCCTGCAAACAGACTGGAGGCCTCACTGTTTCCCAGCCCCAAGCCCCGGCAGGAAGCAGCTCTGAAGCCCACTCTCCCCCTTCTCCAGGGATCTTTTGCCAAGTCCAGGCTTTGCACAGTCCCGCTAGGGGCCCTGCCTGCAGGGTCTTTTTGCAATATAATCTTGGTAAAGGGAGTCACCCTTCAGCCCTGTTTGTGCGCAGACTAGTACATGGCAGGAACACTGGCAAGCCAGAAGCCGAGCTGGGTTTCTAGTTTACTTACAGAGACTGTCATTGTTAGCGGAGAGCCCTTGGGTCAGAGGTTCTTTGCTTTGAATATTTTATATCAAGGCAGTGTTTCTACCTAGCAAAGGAAGCCAAGATATGCCTATTTGGCAAGCCAACCGTGGCCCTTAAAATGGAGTACCACAGGATCAGAACGCTGTGGCAAATGTGCTAGGAAATTGCTCTTCAAGTGCTATTGACTTTTTTTTTTTGATAGAACTTTCCTGGCTGCTAGAAAAGTTCTGTAGTTGCTGATTTAAGTGATGAAGAGCAGTTCTGAATTTAGCCATGGTTTAACTCTGAATATTAAGGAAAGTGTAGAAAGATAATCAGCCCCCCTTTTTTTCATTCCAACTGAAAATATACTGCTTTAGGTCAATTGCGGTGTGACATCGGATTGTTTTTTGTAGACATTTCAGAGTTTGTTTCTTTAGTAAAGCTGTTGGATGCTTGTAGCAGTCTAAACAGAGAGGCTATATCCTGGGGGAAATCGGCTGCCTTGATCCCTGTTCTTCTAAGCAGCATAGTGATAAAAGGAATTTCCCTCTGCCTTTCTGCAAACCTGAACTCCAGGGTTTAAATGCCCCTGAGCCAGCAGTAGGTGGTGGTATTGCCAGACTGTCCATAACTAGCCAGACTTGCTTGCTCTCTAGAGACCTAAGGGCTAGGAAGAAAATGTCAGGGAACCTTTTTTGGAGAAGACTAGAAATGTAACATCACCACAAACCCTGGGCACGTTCAATGCTATGGCTGAGTCCTATACTATACGGGGCTGGGAAAATACTGGAAAGGCTCAAGGAGAGGTTGCAGTTTTTCAAGCTGATTAATTTCACTTGAGTCCAATGACGCTTAGGCCCTCCTAATGTTGGTGGAAAATTCCTATGCTTAGAAGGTGACAGTCTGAGTCTCCGTGGAATGTTGTATTTGAAGCGGTGGATTCTGATCCTGTAACTTCAGTTCCGCTTCCCTCCACACTCACTCCTTGTCCTTGATGCCTGGACGTGCCTTGTTGGTGGCCTTGTTCCTCGGAGGGGCGTGTAAAAACCAGAGGTCTGGAAAGAGGTGGTGGACCCTCTTCTGAGGAGCTTTATAACAATAGCTGAGCTCTGGAGACCGACATTTAACTATGCAGATACTTGTTTGTTTTTCTGAACATTAAAAACTTAAATTAAATGGGGCTGGGGTGGGAGGAAAGAACTGGGACTATTTTCACCCTGTGAAGCAGAGGTTGAAGAAAGGATGGTGTATCCCCATGAAAGAACGTGCCAGGATGTCAGAGATAGATCTCAGCCAGGCTCAGTACAGAGCTTGGGGAAGTTGCTTAAGCCTTTCTCTTCTTTGCGACTCTTTCTTGAGCCTTTTCCTGAGGCAGTCAGCTGGTATAGTTTTCCTGGGTCATTGATTCACTCCTCCCCACTCCCCACCATCCCCCAGATTCCAGCATCAGATTTTAATAAGCCAGAGGCTACATGATGGGCTCCTTCTCCCTCTACATGCTCTTGACTTGTGCTAATCACCTCCAAGCCCACTGGGAAACAGGCTCCCAGAATCCCCTTCTCTCAGCCCTGAAGATAAGGAAATGACACATGGACCCTGGGGGTCCCCGGGAGGCAAGTGCTGCTCACACAAGGTCTAGGCTTCTCATCCTTAATCCCATCCTTAGAAGCATTTGGCTTTCATTCACTCCGTGGGATGGAGTTCATTCTTTTGATTGCATTCCCAAACTGAGGATTTGACCTGGAGATCCAAGTTGATACCGATTTTTTTTTTTAAACAGTGACAGAGGCCATGTTCATTTTTGCTCAAAGAATGTGGCTGTGATCTGGAGCATGGGATGGAAGCTGAGAGGAGGGGGTGTCAAGCTAAGTCCCAGCCCTAACGGGCAAAAGACACTCTGCATTTGCCCCGCCCGACAGTGCCGGCTCAGTGTTTCTGACCCCAGTTGGCCAAGACCCTCGGTTCTTGCTCATTGTGCATGTGGCTTTATGCTCTGCTGAGGACAGGCAGGGTCTTCCCTCCCTGCTTCAGCCCCTTCTCTCCTGTTCATTGTCTTTTTTTTTTTTTTTTTATCTTGAAGAAGCTCTAAGTGGTTGTTGGGCTTGTGGAAGGGACGGGGAGAGGAGGGTGGCAAGGAAACTCCTGACGTGACACAATCTCACATGTCCATGTGCTGTCCTCCCTTGGACATATAGGAGCGAATGTGGAAGCAGCAGGGCAAGGAGACGAGAAGCTAGGAGAGTGGAGCACCCTTTAAGACCTTCCTTACATAGAAGGGTGGGGCACCCTTTAAGATCTTCCTTACATCCACATTTGCTAAGCGGTTAAAAGGGACAGGCCAAAGGGGTTCTCTAGACCAATATTCTTCCCCCATCCTCAGTAGCCTAAGCGAGCAAGAGGTGGACAGGATCATTAGCCTTCTGGAAAATTAACCTGACCCTCGTTGCTTATTTCATTAGCCAAAACTTTCAGAATATAGAAAAATTATAACTCAATAAATCTTGGTGCCCCAAAAATGGGAACTAGCTTCTGATGGAGAAAATGCAAGTGTCCATTTAGGAGAGGGCAAACATTCCTATTCCGAAATACACAGTGACTTTCAACCCTGTTTGCACACCGAAGGCCTGGGGTCTGCACGAATGTGTGTTTGCCCAAGCAGCACCCCAGGCTTCTGATTTAATGGAATCGGGCATTGGGCTCTTTTTAAAGTTCCCAGGCAGGTCTGGTGTACTGCCAGTGTTGAGAGCTAGTGCTCTAGTGTTCAGAAGGCTTTGAGGGCACACAGGCATGAACTAGGTGTCCTGACACCCTACCGCCAGGACTGAACACCGGGGAGCCTGTTGTCACTATCAGGTTATCACTGCATCCCAGTACACACACATGCAGATATACGCACACTGCCACACATATGTCCTAAAATAGATGCCCACACATGTGTGAACGCACTCCAAAGCACACACACACACACATTGCAACACAATGCATGTACACACATGACCCAACACATGCTTACACACCCAAACATGCATGCACACAATGCACCCAACACATTCCAGGTTCCTTTATGTATCCAACATGTGTGTGAGCACATACATGTTTTGAACACACATGCACACACATGCACACACAGGTACATCTCAACACACATGGCTGCGTTTTATTATATCTTAGTCATAGCATCTTTTATGCTGGGTGTCTTCACTTGCGAACATTTTAGGAAGAGAAAAGCCAGCTTGTAATCAAAGAAAAATAAACCCAGAGCTTGAGAGACTTCTCCAGCTGCCACAGAAGAAGAGAGATGAAGAGCAAACGTCTGAAGCTGCTCCATGCTGATCTGTCTCCATGGAAAGCAGCTCCGTTTGAAAAGTCTTCTGCTGGCTCTTTCTGTAGCGGGGAGGCAGCGTCTAGACGAGCAAGTAGTCCTGTGACAGATGCCTTTGGTCTCCCCGGTGCTTTATTGGGAAGGGTGGCCTAGCAGCCCTTTCAAGGAAGAATAGAAAGCAAGAGTGAACCCTACTTGAGCAAGTGTCATCTGCGTAACCTCCAGTATGACTTCATTCTCACAGTGATCTTGCAAAGTGAGTGTTTCAAGTGAGACCCAGGCTCAGAGAAGCAACTGACTTGCCCTAGACCAACCCCCCAGATGGTGGGGATCAGGCCCCCCAGAGGTTTTATGATACTGTTGGCATTTTAATATGACTGGTGTGTCTGTGTCTTTAGATAAGGAATGGCTTTCCTAAATTAACATAAATCCTAGAGACATCACGTCTTAGCATTGATGGAGAGAAAGGAGAATCTCAGATGGGAAGAATAGTGACTGTACTCTACTTTCTTTCAGATTCACCTTCTCACC